GTATCTGTCAATCTGTCATGTTGAATGTTTATCCCTTAAGGTGATACTACCAGCGATTTACTTGTGGCAAAGCTGGACAAAAACATGAATGCTACAAGAGTATGTTACTCATTTTGCTATTTTCACCACAGTTAAGGTCAAGAAACGAATATGTTATAGTATAGAGAAGAACTGCTGAACGCTTTCGAGGTGGCTCTTCAGCAACGCAGCAATCTCATCACTTACCTGGAGCCTTCACATTCGTAGGTTTTATTATCTGAGATTGTGTACTAATCCTGCCATCATATCGTTCACAATTTTACATCTTCATTTATTTCCCACTTGCTCTTTTCCTCATCTTTCATTAGGACATGTGGAATTCAAGAGTCAATGTTTCGAATTCTCATCCTCTGCCGATCATCGCAAGCAAAAGCATTCGATTTACTTCTGAATCAGCTAGAAAGTCTACAGAAGTGAGATTCTTGTTCTGCTTGCTCAAATGCAGTTCAAACATTTTTTTTTCAGAGAAGGGCAAAGCAGTGTTAGTCTCTCTCATCTATGTATAGCACAAATCCGCTTCATCAATCGTATCTATGACAGCCATGCGCTATTCTGCTCAGTATTTGAACGGGAGATTGAGCAGTGGACGCCAGAAGTCAGAAATTCGTTGATCTCGTCGATACCGGAGGTGGGCTTCACAATGTTGCTTTTTGCATGTATCGTAAGCTTCGCTGCTGAGGGCAAATTGCGATTTTTCTAGGTTTGCGAGCATGGTAATCGTTCGGATTTATTTTTTCAGCTTGCTTATTGCTATAGTTTTTGTTTTTCCCTTTAACTTTGTAGCTCGTGAAACTCTTATTTAAAGGTTCTTACTGATGTCAGCGTTCAATTAGAAGCTGTTCAAGAACTTCAATCGTTGCTTTTGCGTGACGTGAAGGTTGATCCAGTTGGATGTAAACTAGCCGTTATAACAGCTTTGTCCTTGTTGAACTCAGAAGCGGAGGCAACAAAACAGGTTAATTTTACTTCATATGAATATTCTAGTTTTTGAGAATGCAAATTTTAGTTTCAAAAACAAGTAATGCAGTCAATCATGAAGTTTGATGTGGAGTTGCTTCCTTCACTTGTCGAATTACTGCTTCGGCGTTTGGACTGTTCAAGCAAGAATGCATTTGCTGAACTATTATTCCAGCTCTCCTCCAGCCTCCAAATTGACAAACTTCAGTTTAGACGTCGAGGAAAGGTGTAAGTTGTTGGCACCTTGTCATCAAATTTTTTTCAACGCTCTTTTCCGCTGCTCTTCTCTACACGGACCTCTCTGCAGTACTTTTCCTTTGTCGTAGCCTAGGCAGTTTATTCCTCCTAGATTCATTTTAGGCTATAAGAAC